GATAGTATTTTTTGACTCTCGCAAGTGGAAAAAGCACTGTGAGCCCCACCAAATCAGGTTTTCACACGTAGAAAAAGCACTTTGAGTAACTTTTGCCTAAAAGTTTCACTGGCCGTTTTTTTATGATTGCCTGTGGAAACCCCAACGGCTACCCAATCGCCTGCGGCCACTCCAAAGACTCTCTACCAGAGTAATTTTTAATGGCTAATCACTCACCAACGAGTGACATTTAGCCGCCAGAAGTAGGCACATGCAGCGGCAGTGCCCTTTGAACCTCATATCCCATCGACGAATGTCTGGGCCAGAGGTATGCGGCAACTGTTTGTTGCTGATTGGGCACATATGGAGTTTTGGGGCTGGATGGCACACCTCTCAGAATCAAGTACGGTGGAAAGCAGGTATTCGTGCCAAGGACTCCTCGAATGATTTTCTCTACGAAAGACGAAGAGAAATCAGGAACAACTTTCCAACAGCCCTATTCAAGTGATTGCATAAGAGAGGTACGCTTTATCTAGCCCTTACCTATGATTTTTTTTCTCTTTTTCACATACCTGTTTCGAAAAAAAAGATGGATTAAAAAGCCAAGGTAGGTCACCGATGCCTGAGTCTTTGAGAAATTGTGGAAGCCAGCCATACCTCAAATTGACATATCAGCATGACATAAGGTTGGTTTTAAAAAGAATCTTATGGATAATTACGATGACTAGCTAAATTCGCTAATTCGTAAATTCGTTTGGTTGTCTGCCAAGAGAATTGAGGCAAACTTACCAAAAATGAGTCTTTATTTCAAAAAAAAAATGGTATTTTCAGAGAATACCATGAGTTTCAAAGAGTTCTCGAAATTGAGACTATATGAAACTCTTATTTTGATGTGATTGATTGATTTACTCAAAAACCTTCATTAAAATATTTGTAATAATCTCCAAAAAAAATAAAAGTTTCATGAAAAGCATGTATTTACAACTGCAAAATAACTTTAGAAAAACCTGCCAAGATCCTTAGAAGATCGGCTTTTGCATTCTTGTCAGGCACTACTGTAACCTCCTTACTTGTAGAATTATTTGTCCAAAAAAAGCAGTTGTCTGCCCCAGTTTCCAACCATTTAAACTTATCACTTATTTTTGTTTTCCTTCTCATGAGGATGACAGTCTCACTCAAAACTGCATTCTATGAAATTTGAGATTTAGAATTCGCTGCATCATACTTCAGACCATCAAAATGATGTGATGATTTGCACCCATTGTTGACTAAACTTTTGTAAGGTATCAGAGTAAAGCTCCATTAGATAATGTTCTTTTCTAATAAAAAAATTGAATTCAGACTCAAAATTTTGTCTTGTCGTCTGAGCTGACTGTAACCAAGAGTCTATGAAAATTAGTTTTCTGCATCTCGTTGACAGAATCTATATCCTAGACATGAGCACCAGTATCGCCGCTTCATGAAGCAGCTTCTTGCTATTCGTTACGCAAATTTGAGTTCGAGGAAAATAGCAGTTTTATGTTTCAATGTAGATCGATGTAGATTTTCAAAAAATTTCTTCAAAACTCATATGTTTTGCTAACAAATTATAGATAGAATTTCAAATCGCTCTCATTGTTCATGAAAGAACTTATCGATATGAGCCGCTAAAATCTCAATGTTTCGAACAATCTCTCAACTTTATTACTCAAGCTTCACTTTCGAAGCAGCGTCGAGTACTTTCTTGAAAACTGTCAACTACCATGAATGAATCATGCGAGTTTTTGAACCCAAACTTCATGAGATGTTCAGAGCTCTGCAAAAAGACTGAAATGGTCTCACTCTGTTGTAAAATGCACCTAGCCTCGGGTTCAGAAGGTACTAAGTCTTTTTTCTAAAATAGCTTAGTTTCTTGAAAAAAAATCCAAAAGGTCAGAAAAACCTCCATTAAGCGGTTCCTTTGACATTGCAACAGTCTTTTGCTTAGCGACTAGCGACATTTTTTCGAAAAGTTGCAAAGCATGACTGACCATGTTTTCTGCTTTATTGTTTGGTTTCTCACTTCATCCGGTCAAATCTTTGGAAAGGTTTGGAGGCGAGACCTATGTCTTAACTATCTCTCATCAAAAAGAGAAAAATACTGGTAAAATTGATCTTTTTCAGCACCGGCCATTACTTCAATTGAGACTGCTCTATACTTTTGAAAAATGATCCTTGACCGTTCAACATAGCCTTCCAAAAGAGTGGCGAAATGGCTACACATCCGTTCACTTTGCATTTTCGTCAGCGTTTAGCACAGGTGGATTTCAACCATCGCTCCTCATCTACCATACAAAAAAATTCTAGCATAAGAAAATTATTTGAATTCAACTTAAGAGAATTATTTGAATTCAACTGAGTTCAGCCGTGTTTCATGAAAACCTTAACTGTCCATTTCAGAAAGAAAATGACACCAGAACGTGCAAAAGTTCTGTACAAGTCTCACCTCGCGCGACTAATACGCTCGCGACAGTTTCAGATATACGAAAGCGAGGCTAAGAAAGAAAATGCGAGCAAACGAAGGAGAAATAGTACAATGACATCGAAATTGTTCTGTTTCCTACTTGGTGTTCTCGAATAGCCGTTTCATGAGAATCTGTTTCTTCTGCATGTCATCATTGTTCCCATGTCAAGCGCTCACCATTGTATTATATTATAACCGGATTTCTGGTTGAGTTTTATTCTGCACTCACATGTTCAGAGCATGTGAGGAAGACAGAAACTATGTATATGCCCCATTATACTATGGTCACCTTTGTATTGCGATTGTCTTCTGCTATCAGATGTTCAGAGCGTCTGAAAAGACCGGATGTTTTGAGTGTCAGTAGCAAACTTCCCATTAACTTCATTTACGCAGCGGCTACTGGCAGAGTAAGTTTGCCGTAAGCGTCTGCACTATAGCAAGAAAGACTTCTCCGATGGGCGAATCGGAGAAGCCTCTCAGTCATTCAAAATTCACCCACGCCCTTGTGGGCAGCGTTAGGGAAGTGTTCCCTCTTGAGTTGCCCATTTGATAGTTTCCGAAAAATTATCATGTTTTTATTGCCTTGATTTTTTTGAATGTTGTTACGGCGAATCTTCAAAACTTTAAAATTTTGAACATTCTGTCACATTAGCGATATTGATTTGCATTTGAAATCGTTGTTTGCATCTTTTTTTGATATTGATATAATTCTTCAAACAGTAATCCCATCGCCACCCAGCCAAACTTTTACCTATATCCCAATTCGACTTTTGAATTATGCCGATTATGCCGCTCCTACCATGTTGTTTTATCCTCATCCCAAGCATTGCCATACTCGTCCCTTCAGCTCGGATAGAGCCCATCCATCAATGATGTATCAATATCATCATTATCGAATCCATCCTCCTCTCCGAACAATTGCGGAGGCCTTACCTGCACACAATTTTGCTCATTATCCAACTTCCACGTTTATTTTGCTCCGCTTAATTCTCAGCTCGAGACGAGCTCTTTTGACAGGGCGTGCGAAAGCCGCTTTTTCCTATGAGCCCTTTTCCCCCTGTCCACATGCATTCGAAGAGCAATCAAGCGACCAAGCAATGATGCGATCAACAGCACTTTTCCTGCCCGCAGTCAGTGACAACAAATGGTAAATGGGCAACCTTGATGACGATAATGGTAGCAGCAGCAATCTCCTGTTCTTAAACGAAACAGTGATGAAACAAATGGTACATACATGGGCAGCTTTGATGACGACAATATCCCCCAGCCATGGCCAAGGATGAAAGCTCGGGACGAGCTTTACTATGGAATGGACATGTCGAGACGCAGACTAAGAGATGGTCCGACAGTCCCCAGGCCAACGGGCGGTGCCCAGCAACTCCAGGTGAGCTGTGCCTAACCGGGTGACCGGCGGTTTCCCTTCCCCTCTCTTTCTATTTATAAATATATAATAAAGATTCTAGTAAATGTTATGTTCATATAAAGTAAGACAATCAGGGTGAAGGATTCAAGTCAGGAGAGTGCACCTCCTGGACTTGACAAGCCTTTTCATACCAAAGTCTTCCCCCTCCATTACATTAACGTGGGCTAGGGCCAAATTTCCAACGTGGCCGAATTTTCATAAATAAAATTTATGAATATTCATCGTATCTGTAGCCCTAAAGAGGGCCGTTGGGTCACAGTTCGACCTAGAAGGATAGCTCTGTTCGTCCGTTCTACCCCCCCCCCCCCGCACCTCCCCCCCACCCTCCCCCGTCGACGTTTTTGGGAGGTGGGTGTCCGACACTACCATCTTCACTTTTGGCCGGCCAGTGGTAGCTGGGACCACCTTCACTTTCGGTGGGCCCGGCTCCCCCCATCGCACCTCTGGTCATGAGGGATGAGCGGTGGAGCTCATTTTCATCTGCTGATTCAAGATATGGTAAGGACGGTAGGAAGCAAGCCCAAGACGAGTCGGGATCAGAAGAAGAATATATTTTGTCACATGAGAGATCAAGCACGATGGACTGGCTCAACGGGGTGGAACCCGGGATACCAGCGATATGTCTTTGTAAGGTCGATCCGATGCTTGCACATTGACGATCAAAAGGAGTACTGTTGGCTTTTTGATTGATGTACAGGTGCTCATCACTTGCCTGCGCAATCAAAATACAACTCAGTGTCCTTGAAAAGGTTCAATTATGTCGTCTCTCAACAATATGGTGTGACTTCTAATTATTCGGGTAAGTTCACAATCATCTCTGCATGCGATATGAAAAGTATGATGGACAGGATCACTAGATGACTGATCAAGAAAGTTCCAGGACAATACATAAAGAGCATTCCCTTTTGTATGAGATCGTTGGTTGACAGCTTACCTTTTCAAAGATGTGTTCAAAGTTGGTCAGCAATGAATGACAATGCCCTTAACCAAGCACAAATCTCCTAATGCTATGCGGGATTACATAATGAAAAGATCCAGCATTTCAAGGATACAAGCCGCGGCATTTTCAATGGGATGCGTTGTAAGAGAAACTAAAGCTTCCAAACACGCAGCTACGGAATTTTTGAATAAGATTAATAAATAATGAACTTCTCTGAGATAAGGAATCACACAGTCAGGTAAAGACAAAAATTTCTTGACTTTTTATCTTGATGCGTAGGATATTGGTCAGTGTTATAAGTGAATCATCAAAGAATAGAGCATTTAGATGAGATACACCCACAAAACGATACAAATCCAAACAAATACTGGAATGTCGATGACTTTAGAATCAGCTGATAGTTGTCTCCTGATTATCATTGTACAGATCTTGAGATACGTACAAAGACTCCGGCAATATGTCAGAAATGCATAGATTACAAGATTTCAAATGAAACATAAAAACTTGGATGCGTCAATGTACAATAATATTCAAATTATGATTGTGTACGTTCATATGCAAGGCCATCAGCAATCGCAGCAACCACAGCAACCGCCATTATCGCAGCAATCATCTAGACAACATCCGCAGCATAGACCTGCTAGCAGAGCAGCGCACAGTCCGGTGTTATTGCCACCTCTTCGCGGTCGTTCCACACTGAAAAATATGCTTCTTGAGTAATCATGGATGAAAAGGATAACATGTGGAGGTTTCGGACAGAATATTGAGCTCCACCTACTGCTGGATCCCGAGATGACCATATCCATTAAATATCGTCGAGCATTTGTAACTCAATATTATTGCACACCATGCACGCTACTTGACGAATTTCAAAAATAGAACCTGTTCGTTATCTATTATTTCTGATATCCCCTTGTTTCCTTGTCTACTTTAATTTTCTTTTACTATTTTCTAGTACACATTTGTACAGATTGTTACGCTGAAGAAGATTTCGCTGAGAAGTTAGGAATGTAGACGTCGGTTGCCTGTCAGTAGTCTCACATATTATGTTCCAAATGACACGAGGGTACCTACGATTAGAATTGAACAATTGGTTGTTGAAAATAAAATCACCGTACTTAGTGGTTGAAACTCACACCTGTTCAAGTCTTCACACATTAAATGGGACGTTGACGCACAAAAAAAACCGCAGACTTTGATCCTAATAGTGAGGTTTTCAATAAGATTTCAACTGATGCAGAATTATAGTCAACGGGCAGACCATTCACTACGAACTTCATCGCAGTGAAATTCGTTTACCAATATCACAATGACAGGTACCAAATCCCATTCACATCATTCTCATCACCATGCACAAGCACTGCACGGAGTATTTTCGCCACCATGAGTTGAAAACCCCAAATAATTTCATGTGCACTAAAGACTTGTAATTCAAAAGCACAAACAAGTCTCTTGCACATTTTTACTCATGTAAGTAACTATAAAATAATTCGCGACCATTCTCGGGAGGGGAACGTTGGCCCTAAACTTCGTCCGACCCATTTTCAAAATTCATAACTTCTTACATAATTTCTCGTAAAAATTGCAAATTTTAGCTTTGGTCGAAAAACAAAGTCATGCGCTTTACAAGCATTCGAAAGACTTTCCTACATGCAAACACTGCAAAGATAGAAGTTGTAGAAGAAAATTACTCAAATTTTGATTTTTGTGTGTAGGATTGCCAAAATTCAGAAACATGCACTAAAAATCGAAACAGGTGGTATTACTTTTATGGTCCACTCTTTTCATCTGAGCATAGATTGCGTTGACTGCGCTTTCCTCTAAGAAGTTATGGTTTTCCAGCAATCACAACAGAACGGCAAAATTTGATTTTTTTGACATTCTCATAGAAAATTATAATTCCGATGTAAATGCTCGATCAGCATAAAACTATTCCAACAAAAAAAAAACAGATCATAGAACTGTTAACTCGTTATGAAAATCGCTATGGCTTTCAGTGCAAATTTTCAATTTTTGACAATTTTACACACAGCATCAAGATTTGAAGAGTTTTTCACTACAGCCTCCATCGTTGCAGTGTTTAAGTGTTGAAAAGTCTTTCGAATGACAACGTGAAGCGAGTGATTCTTTTGGGTAAAGCTAAAATTGTACAAATCCTACAAGAAAGCAAAGAAGTTGAGTTCTTGAAGTTTCGCGCAAACGAAGTTTCGCGTCGAATTATTTATGTATTCCCGACATAATCAAAATTTTATCAGTCCATATACACTGCATGACATGAGACATACTACTTGCAATTTGCTCAAATCGCATTCGATAGATAATTGCAATATCAAATGTGATTCTCACATCAAATGAGCAACAACATAGTCAAGGACCGTTTTCTCAAAATATTTTTGGAGGAACTCGAATGAGATAGGCTCAAGCAGATCTCGAATACAAAATAAAACTCTCTAAGCGTGTTTTGGTCCAGTATCACAGCTGTAAATAATGGTGAACTGAAACAGGGCTCGGCGCGAGATACTAATCCCCTAAAAAAATCTCCAAAAACAAAACGTTTTTTGGAGATTTCTTAGGTGATTATGGTCCCTAAAAAATCCCTAGAAAGTCGACCAGAAAAACGTCGCAAATTTTGTGTCTTTTCGGCCACGAAAACGAAACCTCCTTCGCCTTTTGCTCCAAAAACGATACCCAGTTTGCTTATAAGCCATTTATGCCGAGACCTGGACTGAAAGCAAGCTACAAATAATGAACGCCTTAACAAAAGGTGCTCCAACACCTCTTAATTTGCAATCAAGTCAACTACCAGAACTTTCAACGCAATCTCCTCTATCACTATCATCGCGAAAGCGTTGCTTTTCAAAGATTGTCAAATTGAATTCACAAAGAGCTCTAGCCTCAAATTGAGATACTCCAGTAACTAATTGGACAAATTTTTATAAACGATATACCAAAATAAACCCTTTCAATGTGCACAAATTTTATGTAAAATTCCAGCTCCCACTACAAAAAGATAATCGATTTTTTGTTATCGTCTAATTTCTACATATACGCACTTCGCTACCTCATAAGCGTTACGAAATTGGTTGCGATCATGTCAAAGCCGAAGGTACAATAATCACAATCCGCTCTCCTCTTAAGTTGAATAACTGTACCGATGTACATATCAGGGTAGACACGAACACACTTTTCGAAACATCGCCAGAGAACGCCGATTATGCAGTCAATAGTACTAAGAGGATTGTAAACTAGTACACTTACTGCGCGTGACTACGATCTGCCTAATCTATTCATGTAGAGTGAGTACAACTCATCCATGAACATTCATCATAAAAATGCTGCCACAATGCCATGCGGATGAATAGTCAATGCGTCATTTTTCGCAATTAGTTCAGCAAAAAAAACAATCATGACAAAAAGCGAGCTGGTTTGGAGAAATGGCAAAAGCGCTGCGACATTCGTTGCTCAGGAAGTACAGGATGCAATTATGAGAGAGCAATTATGAGAGACCGCTGGCATTGGGCTCGTAGCCCTTTTTTAAAGACAAAAACTGCATGTTGTGAAAAGAAACTTTGCTTGTGTTCGCACTCTACCTGCGTAATTGAAAAAATTAGAAAAGGGTTTCAGGACTCTGAATATCTAAATGAACAAAATAGAAGGTCAGAAAAAAGCGTGTAGTAGAAGCAAAAAATGAAAGCATGACATAAAAAAGAAGATCAGAATTCTTAAGACATTTTTGTGATTTCCTTTTTTCTCTTCAAAAATGTTTGTTGAAGCTGCGCTATACTACGTCTGACTTCATTTTTACACTGTCGCGGTTTTTCTTGTGCTTGTTACTCTTTCGCGTTTTTGCCTTCTTTCAGATGAATGCAGAAGTTTCTTTGAAAGTGCAGAATGGGTATTTCGTTTTTTAGTCTTAAATGACTCACACTACAAGTGTAATATTTCGACATCCGTTGGCTACTTTATAGCTCAAAATATTTTTTCGAGAAACCAGGGACAAAGTGCATGGTGATTCACACGCCATATTTGAGGAGTTCTGGAAAATGCTCCGTTGCTTTACATTATGCCTGGAGTATTTGAGCTATACTCCAAACGAAAAGTTTGGAGAAAAAATTGAAGAATGTATGAAATGTGTGGTTCACTTAGCAACCAGCTACTTCTCTAACCTTTCCTCAAAGCATGCAAGTTTACTTCCGCTTCAAGGTGTCTGGCATGCAGTGTACTTGTTTCAGGCAACAGAGAGAAAGACCGTAAAACATGAAACTTCAAATTCAGAGAACTCTCGAATTTCTCGATGTCCAGGACTTTACCATTTGTATTTTCCGACTAGAGCCACTTTTACGAGTGTCACGCACATACGCTATACAAACAGTCGCATCGAAATGATCGAGGGACGCGATAATGCTTTCACCGTTATATGAATCTTTCAGGTTTGGTATCTCGTAAACAACAAAGTACTCAGGGTCACTACGAATCGATGGTGACGTTGATATTATCCAATTGACAAAAATTATGAAACCCCACATCGACAAGAGTAAGCGAAAGAGAACTTACTAGACGGTCTGAGGAGGCGCTTGTGGGTAATAGCCCGGCTGCTGAGGCTGGGGATAATATCCAGGTTGCTGGTTATAGTAAGGCTGTTGCTGTCCGTGCTAAAAGAAGATTGCAATTACTAGGATGAGACGAAATCAGTGATAAGTATAAGTAAATACCTGGGGGTAACCGTAGTTTGGCTGACTCATTATTGGACTGGTGGAGCACAAAGGTATATTTCACGTGTTTTCGGGAGTGGAAGTGCCGCCATGGTTGCGCCCCGCCCTCTAGCCATTGTCGAGAGGTAACCGGTTGCGGGTATGAATCACCGCGGCAACCTGTCCCCAAACAACATCTCAGACATCAAACATCACTACTCCTGCTATTGTGTTGACGTAAACGTTATCTAAATAATTTCTATTACAAGTTCTACTCGCAGAAAAGCAGCGATCAATTGCTTTGTAGCGGATCATATCGGATTGGGCGATAAATGATTTTGGTCGCTTTTGCGGCTCTTACAAATGCTGTAGACATTTTGTTTGGTGACTGTATCTGAAAAAAGCAATTCAACGAGAAATGGAATATAAATTCTGTTTGAGTAGAATTTCTCTGTGAAGAAAAGGCTTGAAGAAGTGAGATACATTGTGCGGAAATGTGAGAAATTTCCTTTTTCAGTCGAGTAATTTCGAAAAGGCAGATTATACTTCTCTTATTGGGAGAAAATTTGTGATTCTAAACACCAAATAACTCATCAAAGCTTAGAAACATAAATACTTGCGCTTTTGAAACTTAGTCATATTGGGGTATGTCCTTTGATCAGTTTGATTGCTATGTGACAGCAGAAGCTTTGAACTACTTACACTCAAAAAGAACAAAAACAGCAAGAAATGTTTTTATCGAGATTTGCTGCCAAAACGAAATCATGTTTCCCAACCTAATAATATCTGTTATGTGAGAAAACTTAATAGAAATGGAGAAGACAGTTTCTTATACAGACCACTGCTCACAGTCATTGACACCAGTCTTTCCGATATCTGCATCTTACCACAACAGCCTCTTCAACACCTTGGGCGTACAATCTCTCTTTTATTTGCTCCCTGAACATCCATCTGTCACTAACAACTGATCTGGGTCATCATCGCAATCGCAAACTATTGACAAAAAACATTACTTTGAAACTAGACCACATTAAATGTAACAAAATGGGCTTGGCTACCAAATGAATAATATACAATGGCAGCAGTGGCGCTCTCAATGTTTTCGTCCGGGGTGGGAGGAGGGGGGGGGGGACAAGAAATTTTCTCGAATGAATGTGCGTGGCGTCACTCACGCACTCCGAAAAATTTTTTGGGATGCTTTTCAAAATTTGTGCGTTTATATAACGGCGAATAGGAAAAAGCGAGTGGAGGCAGCCACGCCCTTCGAAATTTGATTTCTCAAAAGGCTCATTTTTTCAAGTTTCAAAAATTAATCCAAATATCTGCAGTATGAACAGTCAGCACATTCTTATAAGCCATGTAACTAACCTTCAAATGAATCTGAAAAAGGAAGCTGAAGAAAGATCAGTAAATCAAAAAGCATGCAATTTGAGGCAGCTACAATATCGCTTATAATCCGTGCAAAAAAACGCGATGTTGCCTGAGTCAGGCGATATATCTTATATTGCTATATGTCCTTGGAATGGACCGATTGAGTCCAAGTGCACAATCCCCAGCGCGGGCGCATCTTCTGATATATTAGTGCTAAGTACGCGAGGTTTATATTAGCTAACCAGGTGAATCTTTTCAGATTTTCGCTTGCGGGGAAATCCCACGGCTAAACCAACCCGACTGAGTAGACCATGAATTAGAATCCGAAAAGATACGTGGAAATGACTAGTTACCATGAGCATGATCAGGAAAACTGAGAAGAATGTTGCCTCCAGATTCAAAGTTTGTTCACTCCGAAGCGTGGCGATGCGACGCATTGTTGTCTCAATCGGCCCTCGCGTTTTACAAATGGGTAAGTGTACATATCACCCATATTATAAGTATTATAGTAAAACTCCAAGACGTGGTCATGTCGCCTCTCGGACTCCTCTAAAAAAGAACTTGCATTCACGAGCAAATCAAGAAATTTGCTTGAAAATAGGCATACCTACTGCAAACGTTTGAAACGCTTTTGCACTGAGGTAGCTGTTTCTACGAACGACTATGCAAACGTCATCACATTTGCTCTTACGCTCTCGATATACATGCACTGCAAGTCGGAGAAACAAGCTTAGCACAGGCATGTCCCAGAATCGTCTCAGCATGGTAGCTAAACAACAATTTTCAATTCACTTGAGCTTGATGGAGGATTATCTGCTTTTAAGGGGTATCACTAGATACTTAAATAAGTTTGAGTTTTCAGTTTGCTTGCATCTCCACTTGAAGGCAGAAAACTGGGATCAAGTCGCAGTAGAACCCCAAAAAATGCAACCAAGGTGTATTTTAGAAAATTTAAATTTCAAGCAGATAATTTGTGAGAGTTTTTCCTACTTAAAGCATACTTGTAAGGAGCAGAAGAACGTTTCACGTTTTGACAGATGCGATCCATGGTTTTCAACCAAATATTAGGTTGTAACAGAATCGCAGGTTTTCCAAATTTTGAGTTTGGACTCCTATGACTTTTCACAGAAATAGTCGTCTGTTTTCGATAGAAATTACTGCAATTAGCAAACTTTTGGCAATTTAGTACGCACTACTATGCCGTTGTAGCTTCACTGAGAAAAATTTTATAGCCCGAAGATTGTCAAAAGTTTCCTTGGAAAACCCTCATTTTGAGAGACCATAACTTACTACACAATTTAGCAAGATGATACAAATCTCATTCAATGTGTTGACAATAGTCTGTTGTGCAACAGCGTTAAGCTTTTTGTGATAAAAAATTTTGCTAGAAAATACTGCAAGAAATTTGTGATCACTCATTCTTATCAATTGCTCCGAAAGGCGAAAAAGTCCTTTTTCGCTGCTTTGAATTTTCTCGCAACCAAGGAGAATAACAGCTTCCAGTTTTTGTTGCCAACAGGATGTACTATCTTATATATAAAGCTGAATGTGTGTCTGTCTGTCTGTATGTCTGTCTGTCTGTACGTATGTGCGGAATAGAAATTTTTATTTCTGAACCGATTTGGACCAAACTTGGCACACATATACTTCGGGGCAGGGAGCGTGTCATAGGCTACTTTTTGTTATCGATCGATGTCGATTTCACCGATTTTTTGCAAGTTTTGAGCTAGGGGGCTGGGATTTTGCACAGGGGGGTAATCGAACATGCTGATCACCCCCGTGGGGGTGATCAGTATGTTCGATTACTCCCCTGTGCAAAATCCCAGCCCCCTAGCTCAAAACTTGCAAAAAATCGGTGAAATCGACATCGATCGATAACGAAAAGTGGACTATGACACGCTCCCTGCCCCGAAGTGTATGTGTGCAAAGTTTGGCCCCGGGCGGAGCCGGGTATGCCATCTAGTGTCTTCTAAACAGGGCGAAAGCTGTGCATTTGCTTCGCAGTCAGGATTTTCATAGCCGCAGAATTAACAGCCGTTGTTAGTTTGAATACAAATTTTCATTTTGAAAACTTTTGAAAAATCTGCTTATATGCATTTTGTAGAGCAGGTCACATACAAACGTTACGCCAGTTTAAAAAAAAATTCGATTTTTCGCGGAAATTCAAGGCAAAGAGTTTGAAAAGAAAATATTTCAGATTTTAGCCTCTTGAAGTCAAAAGCACGTCATTTCGAGATGAACCCACTTCTTTCGAAAAAAAAAGCATGCCAACGAAATTAGAAGAAGACTGCTTTTAGATGATATACTTAATTTCCTGAGACAATGGGATATTGTTTTGAACCAACGTATTGAAAAAGAAGTGCGAAAAACCTGCATTAATTCTGTTACAACCTAATACTTGCAATAGGGTCACTTTTACCACTTTGATTCAGCGACAACTGGATGTGCAACAGAATTCTGCGTTGATGCGCAATGTTTTGATTTTTACACTGAAATTCTAGCTTTGCATGGATCATATTCAAAATGTTGCCCTGTTGTTCAACTCTCGCGGTACCCCAAGATGAGGGAAGATTTATTGCTTCTGTTTGACAAGTACGTCTCGGCAACTAGTAAGTCATTTCCTGAGCTACTGGCCTCTATTGTTTCCGACGTGTGACATTCACCCACAGAAATCCTATTTGAATAAATTGCATGAAAGTCCAGTGCTCCTGATGGAATAGGATAGCCGGAAGCAACCATTTAGTCTCACCAACTTCTTTGACCATAATAAGCGTGGCAGGAGCGTTTGTTTTTTCGTGAGGTAGGGGCTTGCCAAGAAAGGCTCCGAGTGTTTGTGAAAAATAGTGTAAAGCATTTTCGCTCTCCCCCACGCTTGCGTAAGTGTCTCATGAAGAAACCCAAGTTTTTGTACGAAAGTTTGATTTTCCTCAAGGCTAAAGCGTTCAATTTGGGCATCAAAAAGTTATGAAAACGCACAAACCTTCCCAATTTTTTCTCTGCTCATCATGAACAAAATCGACAGTTAGGATAAAACAAAAGAATTGCTTACAATAAAACGTAGTTGCAAAGTGGACAGTATCGAACAATATTTGCAGTAAGGAACCGCGCTCATCCGCGCAAAGGGCAGATGCATTTGGCGTTTGCAGAGACATGCCTTAGAAGACATACAGATTTGCTTTTGCAGATCCCTCGTTTATGTTTCAACCATTAGAAGGACTTTATTGATTTGAAGGACACGGGTGGAAAACGGCATACCAACTCTACATTTTTGAGCTTTTTAATTATGTGGTCGCAGATTTGTCGTTTGTACACGAATACAGCTGCAAAGGAGGAATCGTGCCTTTCATTCGTCATTCACGTACTTCTCACATTTAAGCTTCATTGATTCTTCGCTGCGTTTGATTCATGGAAACGGTGGTGTAAAACGAGGCTCATACAAACCATGAAACATTTTGATGATTCTTACTAGGGGCTAAGAGCACGACCCCAGTGGCCGATGAACTCTGACCAAGGTTCTGGAACAGTCCCTTTCAAAGCCCTTACATCTCAGCACCTACTTTATATTTCGTTGTCGCCAGCATGTAACAATCCCTCATCAGATGTTTGGTTACGTCCACCTTTTAGATGATGATATGGTCTCACACGAGTGTGGTGGAACCATTCTGGACCATATTTTTGAATTATTGCATCGGTTTGTACGAGGTAGAGGTGCAACAACAAAATCTTATTCGAG